GGACTCGGCCCGAGCTTAGGCTCGGGTCTACCGAGCCCCGAGCCGAGCCACGGGCGGCCCTAGCCGGCGAGCCCGATTGCCATCCCTACCTATTCTTGATTATAGGTTTTGGATCGTCCTCTTCAATATGATTTTTCTCTATTAATTTTTATGTCGATTGGATGACACAAAGAATGAGAAATTGTATATGAATTGGAGACCATAACTCTATATATAGTTTTCATATATATTTCGTTTGTCATTAAATAAACTCCTAAAAGTATCCAGTCTCTAAATATATAATCCGGCCCATACTTTATTTCGATACCCTAAGCTCAATTTCTCAGTTCTTTATTAGGTCACTTTAATTTGGGACGTAACTTTAAAATATCATTTATACACAATTAACTACATATGTCGGCCCACATGGTAAATTAATAATTTCCCAACACTTCTTATCTTATTAGTCAAGCGCTAACGTGCCTTGCAATCGAAGTAAAGGGCTAACGTGCCAACTGTTATAGGTCGACAAGGCTTCCTTTTTGATTTGACGCCACAAAGATTTCGACTACTAAATACGGCTTGAAAACTTTTATTTTTTTTTGCATTTCCACTAGGAAGGAAAGAAGGTGAGGGGTGAGCCTCTACCGCGGAAACAATTTACCATTCTATTAATCTAAAAGTAACTACTTTAATTTAAGGAGGGACCTAGAGCAAGGGAAAGAGGACATGCATGTTCTAGTTCTTGTTACAGAGCTAGCGCCAACGCTGGTTTGTAAGAGTGGAATCAGTGAAACAAGCGAGAAAACAGAAGGTTTGGCACCCTTGCAACCTCTTTCTTAAAGTCAATTTTTATTTTTAGGAGATATTAAAGTGTTCCAAAAAGATTTTAGGGTGGAGAAAAGTTCCATAAATCATATGAACGAAGCGAGACAATAACATGATGAAAGTGGAAAAATCAAGCGAGATCAGAACGAGTAATATATCACAAGTTTACTTGTGGAAAGCAATGAGACTTTCAACTTTGGACTATTGAATATTGGAATAAGTCAATAAGACTTTCGATTATAGTTATCAGACCAATCGATCACTGACACGATCCAAGCCCTGAGTTAACGGGACACTAGTGCAATTGTAGGGTCTCTGCAGGGTCGAAAGTAAACAAAGCTGTTTTTATAAAAGCATAGATATAGCTATCAGTTTAAAGATAAAAATATAAATTACAAAACCGTTTGCTTAGGAAAATTAAATGCTCCACCACAGAGAAACTTATGAACAAGAACTATAGAGTTGACATATTTTCTCAGAGTTCCGATCAACTAATCATATTTGGAATATAAAATTAGGGCTCCAAATAATCAAAATTTTCATAAACCTGTATATATATTTCTGCTTGGTGCATTAAGTATTAGGGAGAAGATCCCTTTTGAAGCTGTTGGATGAGACTTTTATCAGGTTTACTTCTACATCTATGGAATTTTTATTTATATATCTAACTTATGAAATTTTATATTTTTTGGAGGAAAAAAGATTGAGAACGATGAAATATTCTTTTGCAGTGCTTGAATTTGTTGGTTGTAGCACTTGAAAGTTTTTATATCCAAAACTTCTTGGAAAATATATTATAATACTTAAATAATCTCATTTTGTAATGTCAAATAAATATATGCCTCTTTCCCAATAAATTTAAGATCGACTATATAAACTCACTTTTATCACTATGCTTAGTTCAATTTGCTAGGCTCAAGATATTTTGAGTCAATTAATTATTTATTAAAACCTTTGATGAATGTAGAAACAAATAATTTTGATTTTTCCTTCCAAAATTAATAGAATTTGGTTCAAAAGAATTACCCAAAATGTATAACATAAAGAGGTGTGGTAATTTCATAAACAAAAGTGATCAATAATGATTATATATGAGGGACCCAAACATTAATTTCATAAACAATTTATATAAGCATTATAACCATAAATTTGGGTTGTCCTAGATTGAAATTTTTATTGATTTTGAAAGATTATATATTTCCATAAATTTCGTGGATTTGAATAGATTTTCACAAAAAAAATTCATTTAATATACATATTTTTAAGTTTGAAATCTCTGCAATTATTTTAAAATCCATTTATTAATGAAATCCATATAAATTCATGAGTTATTGAAAATACTTAAATTTAATAATAATGAATTTCATTAAACACCTAAATTTTCCATTAAATACACTTGAATTTAGAAGAATTTTTAAATTTCATAAAAAACATAAATACAACATTTCTGGAGGACTTCTGGGTGACCGAATTGCTACTTGGCAATTCTATGCAATTCTGTGTTGGCAACCAATTGTGATTTGCCATTTAGTAATTCTGTCATTCAGGAAGTCATCTTGAGTGTTACTATAGCAAAACTCTCAAAACAAATCATGCAGACAACATTCACCACAACTAGGGGAAAAAATCTGTCTATTTTGCACCACAAAACCAAATATGCACAACATATGTATGGATAATTGTTTTCCAGGTTAAAACAACACATATTAATCTCTCTCTCTCTCTCTCTCTCTCTCTACTTGAATTATTTTAAATATCATTTTAATTCCCTTTTCTATTTTCTTCACTTTTTTATTTATATTATTGTGCAAGATTGGTATTTTACGCATTGATAAGTGAAAAATCTAAAACTAGAATCTATTGAAGCCACTATTTCATGCTTCTCAAAATTTGCTGCAAGAAAGTACATATCTTTTATGATTATTTCTAAAAATTTATCAAACGCTTAAAATAATATCTAATTCTTTAGCAATCAAAACCTTAGGTTTTAATATGAAGCACATATGAGGACTATCTATACTTGAAGGAGATTGGAATTATTTCTAACTTGCCCACAAAATATAGGTTGGTTGGAAACACCGGTCTTGATCTAGAAGGTGATAAAAGTAAGAATAATAAAGTGACTTGGTTAGACATCGACAAGTTGATCTGTAGTTTAGATACATGAAACGCACAAAACATCGAATTGAACACATTCGAAGACAAAGTGATTATCAATTTATAGAGCATACAAGTAACGTATATTGACTAGAATTCTACGAAGTAGATACAAAATGTTACGATTTACATTAAATTTTGACAAAAAGATTGAAGCAAAATAAATATCTCGTGTTAATCTAGTATTTGATTGATTAAGACGATTAGCAAATGTTAGGATTATTAGGATAAAATTTTAGATTGATTTAGAGGATCCATGATATTAGGGTTTCGTCATCGTGATAAATAATTACAATAATTCTCTCATTTGAGTGACAATTACATGTTTGACTAGCTTAAAAATATACTCATAAGTAAATAATTAATTTTAAAATAAAAAATTATAATTGAGAACCGACATAAACATTAATCTGTCAAGACAGTCACGACTTGAAAAATGATGTGAAATATCAAAGCATAACTGTATTTTCGATTAAGTTAAAATTTAACTTAAATTCTATCTTTATCAAAAAAATTATATATACGTACTAGCATAGTTATTAAAATCGACCAAGAAAAACCATCGGGTCAATGGTTCAACTGGTGGGTCAATGGTTACACTTTAATTTTAATTAAATTATATTTTTGAAATAGAAAGAAAACCATTTTTCAAAATATATTATATAAAGTTTTCTCCCATTAGTAAACAAAGCATCACCACTTGTCATAGTTATGGAGTTGAAATCTCTCCTTGTCAACTTAGGGATGGCAATCGGCTCGGGCTCCGGCTCGTGGCGAGCCGAACTCGTGGCTCGTGAAAA